GAGTTAAGTATTTAATCCCTTAAATTAAGGTTCCTTTTTCCTTCTTTTAATAATAAAAAAAGTATTTCATCAAATCTATCAGGATAAGCAACTGAGTATCAGCAATATCAGTTATACCAGAGGAAAAGTAATAGCATGCGTGCGCAATGAGTTACTTGTATCCATAGTAATGCTAGTCTATCTCAAATGATAGATGTTAAACTACCAGGCTAATAATCTCAAAAGAATTTACAAGTATTGCATTGTGGCTTCAGAGCCAAAGCCATTTATCAAACTCAGCCCTCCATTCAACCCATCTGCAACATTTTGGAGAATGTTAAGCTCACAAGGCCTGAAGTTGGTCCAACTTCCTCTTTTTCAAAGCCAAAACTATTTTAGTTTTGCTTACATTAACTATCATGGTCATTGTAAGTAGAACCACCATCCTCTATGCTAAGTAGAATAATAGAGATAAATATTATTAATTAATCTTATTCAAACCTATGTTTTGAAAATGTAGTTTTTATTTGGGTGCAGAGATGAACATAGAAGTTCAGAAAGTGAAAAGTATTTGAATACTTTGCCTCACTGTTGTCATTACCTGGAGGTCCAAAATGAGTTTTGTCTTCACATTATAAATCAGGATCATAATTAGAGAGTGACTGCAATCTTACATTTCTGATTATTTTTCCTGTTTAAATACTTCACCAGCCTCATGTAGTTTTGTACTGATGTAGCTTGTACTTTAGATCATCTGAACAACAGCAATTTATAACTTCTAAAAGCAAACATATTTTCAATATTCTCCCAGACATAGATCTTTTGTGATTGTATAGATACCACACTCCTACCATAGAAGGAGATACTCTGTGAAGCTATGCATTTTTACATTCATTCCTGCACTTGAATACTTGAAACATGCTGGTGGCTTCACATTATACAGTGGTAAATAATTGAGCAGTGCATTATATGCATTTCCTTCATATTTTTTTATTTTTAACTTGGCAGGTTACTCCTTCAAAGATCAGATTTCATTCGAGGAAAACTTTCAGGGTTTGAAGAGACTAAGTATCAATCATCTGCTTCAATTTTGCCTCTTAAAAGGAAAATTTCTCTCTATGAAGCACAGATTTTGCCATGTAGAACATCAATATTAAACACAGAGGAATTCAGGTCCTTCCTTTCACTCTATCCTCCTAAAAAGATTGCTAAAATGTGTGTATGTGAGAAGAAAGAAATGGGGAAAAGGAAGGAAGCCCCAGGAGAGTAAGAGGAAGACATTCACTACTTGACAATTCAGGGGAACAGAGTAAAAAAAGTCACTCATAACTGATGGGAATTTTCCCTTCCTTACCTCCCTGACAGCTAAACCCATCAAATGCAATCCACGATCCTGGCAGTATAAGAGCCAGTCTGAGTCAGGCCAAAAGTCTGTATGGCCAATACAATATTTATACCATACCTTTAATCATCTCTATCAGTCTTCTGTTCTGCTTTAAAATTGCGGTGATGGGATGAACAAACTCTGCACACCAGATTCCCTTTTTAACATGAATCTTGACATTCTGGAAAGCAGAACTTGCAGATCAAAAGTTTGAGAAATCTTGCCTGCACACCAGCCAGATCTGGCATTTCTCTATACTGTAAACAAATGCCCTTTCTTTAGCATCCTGTAAGGTTGCTATCATTAAATTGTATTAGGGAAGTTATATTATCTAAAGTCCCACAAAATTAGAGGTTACTGAAAGGAAAAATGAAGTTCTGTCAAAATTCCTTTATTTTTTAAAATTATTTATAATTTGTTTTAGTTGGGGCCAAAAAGAAAGATATGCTAGTGGAATCAGTTGGGTTACTCTTGTGTCAACACCAGAAGAGTTTAGTCAGTTTTTCCAGTTTCTGCTAGGTCTATCAAATATTGACCCTCTAAATTAAATTTATTAAGAGGCTTTAGTATTTTACTGAGCTCATATCCTATTCAATAACAGTGAGTTTATGTTTCACTTAAATCCAGTTATTTTCAGTTAGGAAAACAGGGGTTCAGATAATTGATAACACCAACATAAATGGCAGACGTTAATTGTCTTATTATAACATTAGTGCTAGAACAAAATGCTATGATATTGCCTTATAGATTTTAACCAATTACATAGGATTCAAGGGCAAATTTTGGTAAAAATGCATAAAATCCATTTTAATATTTCCTCAAAGTCATACTTTAAAAATTTGACAGCTAAAAACTATATTTCCTCTCCAAAACATACCAGAAAGTTCATCAGCCGAATAACTCTTTCGTTAGTTACTTTTTGGCTCATTTGTATTTGAAGCCCGGGTCCATGAGCTCTGAAATTCGTATGTTGCTTTAAAAGTAATGTTTCCTATTTATTTCTGCCTGGACAGCTACCTGTGCGACCTGGTTGGCAGGGGGGTTGGACTCAATGATCTCTGGAGGTCCCTTCCAACCCCTATGATTCTGTGATTCTGTGATTTCCACAAAAACTACAACAGACACAAAGAGCAAAATAACATTATCTAATAGAGCAAATTCTCAGCTACAAAACACTATTTTTCGGCAATCACACTAATAACTGTGCATTTTCCAGCAAAGAACAAGAGCCTGTGTGCCATGCTTGTAACAATCTGCACCAGTGCAGGTGACCCACCTTTTCACAACAGCTGTGACAGTGTCGTTGCTAAGAAAATATTGCCCAGGGAGTCCATCTTTCATTGGCTCAAAAAGGACATCAGAAGTTGCCAAGTCTGGACTGTGGATGTGGTATGACAGTCCAGCCAAGATTGATAGTGTGCTCCACAGACTTAAAATTGGTGTGGGGCCTGGTGCTCCTTTCCTATCCCAGAAGACAGTGCACATCACTTTACCTGTTGAACTTCTTTGGTGGGGAATTCGCTGTCACCACTCCATGGACTGGAAAGGTTCACCCTACACTGCTATACCACCAACATGCACCTCTGATATCATGGTCCAATATGATAAAATAGGAGGCATTACTTTTGGAGTAGCCTCATATAAAATGCACTGTACATATACTGGTGTATATGAATTTCAATGTAAGCATTTCAAAGTACTTCAGTGCATTTCAGAGGGAAAAGCTGTAATTCATTTTATTAAAAGTTCTTTTTTTTAAAATGAAAAAAAAATTCCTTTGTAGTGAGTAGTTAACTAACTTTATATTTCACAATAGGATTTTCATTAGGAAATACAAGTTCTGACTGCCTTACCTATTCCTATCTACCAGCTGTTGATATTTGAATGGAAATACACTGGGGAGATTGAAGCCAATCTTTCTAACAGTTCTCCCCATTCAAAGTGCTAGGTCCAGAGCATAGGAGATAAGGTGACTAAAGTAACTCTTTCGTTCTGTTCACTCTGCCAGTCTGTAAAATGAGTCTGACATTAGGGCTAGATCTCAAATGAATCCTACTCTTGGTCACATAAATCTTCTTGTGTTGCATTTTATTTTGCTGTTTTGTTTGATTTCTTTTCCCCTGGCAGTGCTCCTTGAGCATGCTAACATCTGTCTGACTTTTTTTGTCTACATTCTTATTCATTCCCTACTTTAACCAGAAATGTCTCAGTCTCTATTAGCCAGTTTTGATTTCTCAGAAAGCCTCTTGTCACTTTCCAATGAGTATCTATTTAGTAGGAAAAGCCACAATTTCAATATTATTTCATTGATTTGAGATTTCTCTGTTGTTGTTTTTGTAACACCTAATGAACTGAACTTCACAAATGCCATCAGTAAGAATTGTGAAGTCTTCCTGACACATTCTTGTTACTGTCTTTCATAATGGCTGCTACTATCTGTGCTTTTGTGTTCCTAACTATAACACAGGAGAGGATAGTAAAAAGTTTAATCTTCAAACTACAACTTATTTCTTGGATTTCAGAACTGCCTTGCAAATTACTAATAGGATTTTTCCAAAATTCAACCTGACTTAAGTTTGTTCAGGTACTCAGAATTTGTGTGGCCCAAGAAGTGGATTACTTCTGGTTGAGCAGAAAAGGATAAATACCAGGCAGTAAGCATTACAAGGAGAAAAGCGTGTGAAAAATTAAAATGAGAATTTATTTACGACACATCCTATATAATCTTGACCTTGTTCACGTTGTAACCATTTCCAACCCCCCAATGGCGTCAACCTATACAAAGCTGAGCCTCATAAAAATAGAAAATGTGAAGGTTATGTGGCAATACACTGACAAGTTTTAATACCACCTCTTTCATAACAAATGGACAACATAGGTGCAGAACTGCTGCTACTGGTGTGTGCTTATAAAAATGAGAGAAAAAAGGCAAAATCCTATAGGTATGGAACACAGGTCATGACACACACATTGAAAAGTCATGACCTTCAATATTAAGGCAACAATTCTGTCCTTAACTCTCTCTATGTTAAAAATAACAGCAACTAGAGTTAAGAACTCTGCATCACCATAAATAGTCCTTGAATTTTGTTGCTTTGCTCCATCCTTAATGTTACTCAAATGCTGTTTTGTTGTGCCTTTAATACAATAAAGGACTAATTCCTAAGAAATCAAGGATATAAGTCACATAAATGAAAACTTGTAAATTATGTCAGTAATCCATAACTCATACAGCTGATTTGGAAACCAGAGCCTTATGGTTCAGAAAGAAGTAATTGCTTTATTAACTCCCATTTATCAGTATAAAATTGGCTAATTTAACTGACTGACTGATTTATATATTGATACTTTAAATTTAGCTCAACATCCTAATTTAATAAAGGGATCACATATGGATGTTTAAAAATATATTACTTTCTAGTTGGTTGATACTCTAAGCATGCCCTTATTAAGACAGATTATCTCCTTTCCCTTGTTCTTTTAAGAGAAGGACAAAACAAATTATATATCTCATTCATTCTATCTGACAGAAAGGCCATGTTTCCATATAACCCCCTCTCTAGTAATATATTGAATGCATGGCTAACCACATCATTCATTCTCTTTTTAACATCCATGATGTCATAATCTTTTGCAGCAGGAGGGGTGTATTCCTGCCTGCAGACTTTGGGAAATCACCACAGGGAGTCAGACTACTGAAGCACAGTCAAGCAATAAATCTACCAGGTATGCTTAAAACAAAAGTTTGAAAGAAGACTATGGATTTATACAAGAGTGTTCTTGTGTATTTCTACCTGACCATAAACTACATGTTAAGAAGAGGAAATTCTCAGTAACTTTCTTTAAACTGTAAAACTGTGGGGTGAGTTGAGGGAAATGCTACTTGCTTTAATTAAAAATGATTGATACTGCCAAACATGATAATACACTCCTCAAGGAAGAGACACAAGCTATGATTCTAATGAGCACATTTTTAGACATTAATATTAAACCACAGACAGTTGCAACAATCAGAAGTCTATGTAAATCAGAATCTATGTAAACAGGATTATAGATAGGATGTGATGTACAACCATAAGTGTATAACGCAAATCCTGAAAGTAAAATTAGGAACATTCAGTTTCTTTTTCTTTCAACACTAGCACTCCTGTGAAAGGTGGCATTAGCAAGATGAGGCTGTGTGTAAAGTAAGGTAGATAACTCAGTGCCAGTTTACAGTCTGAGCATTTCAGTTTTTTTTATCCATAACAATTAAGACAATTACACAGACAACTGCAGATTTCACTACGAATACCAGGGCTGGAGAGTTAATTAATGTGGGATTTTGATATAGAATCATCCAAATTTCAAAGAATTACAAGAAGTCTACTATCACGTAACAATTTATATTAAATTATGGCCCAAAATGTACCATCCGTATTTCATGTTTATATTCCACAGGATTCCCCCCCGCCCCTCCGACACACACACACACACACACACACACACACAGAATATCTTTTAAAAATGGCAGTATTTGATTAGGACATCAAAATTTGTTTCTCAACCATTCATTCTAGAGATTTCAGCTTGAAATGCTTCCTGATTCCAAGGCTGATCAGAAAATTCATTTTCGGAAGCTGAGCCAATTTCTAAAAGAAATCTTTTGATTGATTTTGGAGCCTTTGTTTCTAAATGCAAGCCAAAGTACATGATTTTGGTATTTAGAAATTATTAAAGTGCTGTTCTGAAACACTGAATACCTACCCAAATTTAACACATCACAGGATTTACTCAGGGATTTTTTTTCAGTTTTACATGTCTGCATCTACTGGGCTTTACTTCTGCTGAAGCTGGAGTTAGCCAGTCAGCTATATGCAAGAATTAAGCTTTCAGTCTTTTTCATTTCATGACTACAGAGCCATCTGATTAGGCTGAGACCAAAAGGGCATCTTAGAATACTAAAAGTAAAACTGTCTTCTGAGTTTAAAATCCATATGCACTCCATACCACTCCTTAGTCTTTGCATCCCCATAACAATAAAATCATATGATGTGGCTGAATTCATTATCTATTATATTACCTTACTCTTCCTCATTCACCCTCTCCATTTTATACTGAATTTATTCTTTTCAGCCATATGGTACACACACATTTCCCTTAACATATGCTGTACATCCTTGTTTGGTGAATGTGAAAAATAAATGTCTGATTAGAAACAGAAAGCCACTAATGAAACAAAGTGGTCATTATTCCTTATAAAATAATCACTGAAATGGATTTTCCTAGTACTCTTCTTGAAGGGGTATTTCCTCAGTAACCCTAGAATTATTGCTGAGATGGATTGGTAATTGAGAAACCTGAAAAATATTCAAAAGGCTTAATGGTCTAGAAAGATGTTGAAGTTTGGACTTCTGTTCTGAAAACAGCACAAAATGCTTCAGATAAGTCTGTAGCTTACCAGAAATTACCTTTCTTTCTCTTTGTAACAACTTCTGCTGTCTTCAGATACAAATTCACAGGGAAAGTAGAGAGCAGTTCAACCAGAGGTAAATTTGCAACAGGACTGACTTCAGATGGTATCGAAGCTTTGCAAGAAAAATAAAACAGTTCTGTCCGATCACATCTCATCAGCAAATGTCTCACTTACATTCAAGTGTTCTGCAATTCAAAGTTGGTTCTGCAGTCTCACAGCATGGAGTCATCTTGTATTTATCAGGAGTGAACTACTGCCAGCAGCTGAAAGGTTTGTGGTTTTAGTGAGCGTACTTCAATGTTGCCCATCATGTATTCACTCTCAGGGTGGTGCACATTTTTCTCCCTTCCCTTGAAATAACTGTTTCAGGTCAAATCAAAAGACTTTGCATCAAAGCTGATTTCTTGCATTATAATTTACAGTAAATAGATTTTTAAAAACAAAGCATATTTAAGTTTAAAAATACAAACAAACAGAATTTGAATTGAGATTATCAAATGTTTGTTTTTATTTAAGAATATTTTTTCAAAAAAATACATTTTCTTAGATGAAAAAAAAAAGAAAAAAGCATCATTGTAGGGTTTTTTTAGAAAACAATCAAGTCTGCTAGTAATAGGATATTGGCAAATGCTGATTTTTCATGTTGCTATTGTTTTAAAGCACAATGTTTTCCTCTATTTCTCTTAAAAACAAACAAACAAACAAACAAATAAAACCTCTGGAAATTTACTTGATCCATGAAGATATTCCAGTTGTAATAAGTCATTCTGTTTCAGAAGTGAGACGCAATGTTCCTACAGTTAGCAACAAACCTGTCAGGGCTCTTCAGAACATTATTTTTACTGTATTCACTCAATACAGCTATAACCTTGTGAAACTCGAGAACAACCTTTTTAAAATGAATTATAGCCATTGGCCCAATGAATCCATTGCTCTGTAAAGCAAAACACAGACAGTTATTTTCACTTGCTTTACAGTGTCCTTCAACCTATTTCAAATGGTGAGACATATTTTCTCTCTGATCTTGCTGAATCCAGAATGGAAGAAAATTTGGGGGAAAAAATCTCAGAGAAGACATCTGTATGTTAAAATGTTGTTCAAACAGATATTGTTTCAGAGAGAAGTGTTTTCAGAGACACTGCTTCTCAAATTGTTAAACAGCCATTTTTGTGAAGTCTCTTGTGAATCCCATTTGCTTCTGTTAATTCCAGGAGCAAATTATGCCCTATGCCTTCGAGGATGCCTGTTTTAGTTCTCAGTGCAGAAGCAGGACCACATCTTCCTTTTGTCCACATCCATATATTCCACTGAAATTAAATAAAGATGTCATTTCAGTGAGCTTTGGACGAGCCTTCAAAGGCATTTTTAAACATCGGAATACTATATATACCAATTGAATTAGTGGTTAAAAAAAAATGTTCCCACACTGTTTGTAGAAGCTAAGGTATATGTATGTTGTAGAAGAACAATCAAGAGGAAAAAGAAATATTCAGTTTTATGATATTTGCTACCAAAAAGACATACAGAGTAGGACAATTAGCTTGCTAGGGATCTGCTTAGAAGAAATGAGTTCAAGGAACTGCATTACCAGAGTTTTCCTGTGTGATCTTGCACCAGTCTGCACTTCTGCGGGAAAAAGTATTTTCATATTTATAAAATGAAATGTTTGAAAATAAAAAATAATAGTGGCACACTCTGATTCTGTGTTAAAATAAGTATCTAGATAGGGAGCAATATAAATACACATAAGACATCAATCTACATCAGCAGACAGCCTCTAATACTGAAAAATCACTGTCTCACCAGCTTCATTGCTGATGCCAAAGCACCGGGGGGAAGCATCTTCCTTTCTCTTCAGAGGAAGCAGCAAGCCTGGTGTCAGCTATACATACCAACACCATCCTCTGCACTTTTCTAAGGTGGGAGTTTAAAGGCTCACAACTCCTACCTTTGCACAAGATCCACTTTTTCTCTCTTTGCTAAGGAAGCCTTGAGGGATTTCTGGAATAATATATAATATTCAGAAAACAACTTGTGAATTGATTTTCTTGTGCACGTCAACCTTTTTTAAGGAAAAGGGTTGTAAACATTAAATTCAAATACAATGTGAAATTAAGCATGACCCTTGTCACAATATCAAGTGCACAACAGTGATAACATTTGTAATGAAATATTGGGATCCTTATCTCATTACTTGTTAAACATCAAGACTCAGATCACAAGCATGGAATATCACAAGCATATAGGTCTTAGTCACATAGAGTAGGACAGTACACTCCTGATTGTTCCCACTGGTAGCAATTTTGTTATTTATTCCTAATGTTTAGGTAAGTGCCTTAGTATATTGCTGAAATGAAGGCAAAAGATGACTCAGTAAAAGCTGAAAAAGAAAATGCTAGCTGGGGGCCATAGCTGTAAACAGACCTAATGGTTTCACTTTTCAGATAACAGGGAAATACAGAAACAGTTTTAGAGTCAGTGACAAGACATCAGGCCTCTAACCCCTCCTATTCGGAGAAGCTTCCCTACTGATCATCCCTTGGTTTTAGTACTGATGTGGGAAGAGTGCACCATTCTGTTTCCTTTGTTGAACCAGGCCTTCTTCTGAGGGTGATAAACAGAAAGACACACAAGGAAAAGGAGAAATTAAACCTGGAAAGGTGCCCTAACTGTGGGGTACTAATAAAAGTGCACCACTGTTATCACCATAAATGCCAGCATCATATTTTCCTCTGAAAATAACAGCTATGTCTGAATGCAGTATCACTGGTATGACTTAAAACTCATTTTGAAAGGTATCTCCTGCATCAGGACCTCCAGGAGTTCAGTGATAGGGACAGTTTATCTGTGACTCCTAAGTAGCCACACATTACTCGCTTCAGACAAGACAGTCAGGTCTACAAATGCTAACAAGCAAAAACTTACACAGCCAGGTAGCATTACTTCAGAAAACCTAGGGCTCTTAAATTCTATTTGAGTTAGAGAATTTTAAAATTTTAATTTTATCTAGTGTTTAGTTCTCCTGACTAAACAGATTTGGTTTGGCCATTAACTTGTCTTTGTCCAACCTTGTTTTTAGGCAGTTCAAACATTCTCTCTATGTGACTTCTTTCAACAACATAACAGTAAACCTCACTTTTTTGTTTTTTTGGGGAATGTTTTGTTTTGTTTTGCTTTTTGGTGTTCGTATTTGTAGTGGAAATGCTAAGCCACAGCTTGAACCAGTGATTAAGCACCTGGTGGGAAGGCAGGGCAAACGCAGGGGAGCTCATGTGCATGCAATGTACCTGAGTGATTAGAAGGGCTGGAGCCAGCATCAGTTCCTTTCCCAGATCTTCTTTAAGGGCTGGCAGTAGAGGCTCCTGTACAGTTGAGGCCTTCTGAAGGTAAGCAGCTTCTTTCCTTTATGTCTGCATCTACTGTTGTTGTGCTTGAGCAAATCCTTACTTGCTGCAGTCTGGGATCTTGCTGCTCTGCTGTTATTGTTGCATTTTCTATTGTACTGCTGTAAGTGTTTTTTTGTGTGTGTGTGTGTATTTCTACATTTTATTCCTTTTTGTATATGAAAATATTGCAAGAAAACTGTATGTAATCATTCATGTATTGTGTTATGTACAATAGCATCTGGATTCTTAAGTTACTATCCTGAATGCATGTTTTTCCTGAAGTATATGCTGATAATATATTGAGGTTTGGACTAATTACAATAGTCTAGCTGTGCTGAACTTTTCACAAACATACGTAGAATGTAATCAACATTTACTAGAACACTATGACTCACTGAAGGGAAGAATCATCTAGGGATACAGAATGTTCAGACAGTGCAGATTACCCAGGCTATTTTGTTTCAATACCAGCATACTCAAAATTGATTTATGTTTTATTTGGTCAATCTCAACATAATTCATTCTCATTATAACTCACCAGCAGTGGACTAACTCTCTAGTAAATAATGAAAAAAGTATGCAACAAGGAGTTGCTATTTAAAATAAATTAGTAATAATAAGGCAAAGATCTCAAGCCCAATCATGTGATAGTTTTGGTGTTATTTTTATGGCAACTCAAATATAAGTTTAGGTGGGTTTCTTTCCATTTCACAAAGAGCTCTCTGTCCTTCATATGCGTCAATGCTTTCTAGTGTGACTGTGTCTTTGGTTTGTATAACTTGGCCAAATTTCTACCTGACCTAGTAGGTCTGTCCCTTCCCTGAAGACCTGTAACCCCTATGCGAGACTCCTGTGCTGTTGACACTCCCCCTGCTGACAGCGTTCAATCGGGAAAATGAATTGGAAGGGCTTGAGGGCACAGTGATGAGAAGAAACCACTTTGAGGAAGCTCATATGACAAGGACTAGACACAGCAGAGGTGATCACAAGTAGAAAAAGATGGTTGACACTAGGGAAGGTGATGGCAAAGAGGTCCCCTGTCACTAGTTCACATGGCGTGGGATCTGGGACTGGAACCTGACCTAAGGTAGAGACAAAAGGATGCAAAACTTGATTTGTCATGATTTTGAAGCTTATATCATTTGCTTTAGCACTTTAAGCATTAATTTGGGAAGGGCTTAAAGGAGAACAAGAATTTCCTTGCAGCAGAGTAACTCCTACAAGTTACAGAAGATCAGGATGACATATATTTTATATGCATATTACTGGACCATATCAAATAAATAAGGAACAGAAGCTGAAGGCCCTGCTGACTGGCCAAAGCAACAAGTTAGTGGTCATTCCCATGATTTTCTTTCTTTTCTTTTTTTTTTTTTTTTCTTTTTTTTAGCTGAAATAAATAATTGTATAGTCTTTGTGAACATTTGTATATATTTATTGCTGAAAGTTGCATCAGAATTACACTGTCTCTATTTACTTAACTTCAACCCCCCCAATAAAATTGTTCTGCTGGAAAACTGAATTAACTTTATTTTTCTGTGTACTGAATGCCACAACAACTATAGCTTAAAAAAGCCTTTTAGTGGTTTACAAACAGGATGACACCTACTATCCATTTTTTGTCATTGGTTTGAGAGTCACAGGATTATGCTGTTACCAAAAGTATTCAGCTGCTGATTTTCTTGAGGATTGGGATTTCAATTTCCATGCTTTTTTAAAACCTTAAGAAATTATAAAACAGCACTACTTCTACATCATCTTAA